CCTCACTCTCTATCTTTCCCCCCCCCCCCCTTCCAATCCATTCTTTTTCTGTTTTAGTGCAAAAGTGCATCGGAGCAAGGCTTCATCTTTAGTATGGAACAAGAAATCACAAAAGAGGCTTCATCCCACTGTCCTGAAATTGATTACCATTTTTTCACACATTAACTTTTGTTTATTTGTCTATTTTCATTTATTATTTAATAAAATAAAAATTTTTTATGTAAATTTTTAATGCTCCGCATATAATTTTTATTTTTTATTGATGTTCCAATTTGTAAATAAAATAATTTTAAAAAAATGTTAGATTTTACATCGTAATTCTCAATTTGGAATCAAAATTGTAGTAAATTCGAAGCCACGGGATATACTTTGGAAGTGTTATTCCCTATTCAACAATCAACAACCGACATAAGTTTTGGACCCCTCCTGTTGAATTAAAAAAGAGCTAAAAAAGATCTGAATTATCGATCAATTTTTTACCTAAGACTACAAATTTAATTTTAGGCTTGGACTATGAAAAAACAGTACAGGAGCACCGTAACTGTCCCAATTGAATTAGTGTAACAATCTTGCACCAATTCAATCAGTGTAAGATTACCACCCCACATATATACAGAGTACTAGCTGGGAATGTGCAAGTGCGCATTGGCTGCCCAACTTAAATTTATGTTTGTAGAAATTAAATACTTTTTGTATTAGACGTAAGTAATAAAAAAAGGTGATATTACATATATAAGATAAATTTCAAAAAATTGAATATGGCACAAATTTGATTTCAAATAATACACCCATTCACAAGGCTTTGCCAAAGCAGGTAGACAAATTTATTTATTTGTGTACAAGTAGTTAAGTATTTATACCATATGTCATAAGCATTCCTATCTTATTGGGATCGACATATATTACAAGAAGAGTAAGGATTTGCTTTTAAGGCAAAAATGTTTATAGCTTCCTAGAAAAGTAATAAAGTTAACTATTTATAGCTTATGTTGTAAGCATTCCTACCTTATTAGGATAAACATATATTACAAGAGGGGTAGTGATTAGCTTTTAAGGGTAAAATGTTTGTAGCTTCATGGCAATGAAATCGGGACTATGCTTGCTCTTCAATCTTAAGTTTTTTCCTTAAAGTTTGATTGCTTGTGTGCTTCTGAGAGAGGTTATAAAGACATAGTAGTGAGTACATCTTTCCTGCTATTTTTTTGGAAGTGGTTGAGGTTAATTTGACAGCACCTGTGTCATTGATTGGTTCTAGAGCATTGTTCAAATACACACAATCAATTGACTCCGCCGGTGTCTTGAATTACAGTGTCTTTACTATTTTTTGGAGCTCGTTGGTGAAGAGGGTGAACTGCAGAGCACTCCTTCCATCGCTTATTTCAACCAAAATTCTAAATCTGCAATGTTTGTCAGGGGTGTATTTAACATAAGTGTATTATTCTAACATAAAAAGTCAAAGACTGCGGAATTGAAGTGGTCACCTCTTTGCAGTTGTGGCTTTTTTTATCGCCACTTTGCATGCATTCAAAGGTAAATCCTTCTCTGAAGTTCACTTTTCGATTGCAGCTACTGCGTCCAATGTAGAATGGAATTCGTGCATTTTACAAGAAAAAAAGTGAGCGTAAATCAAACATAGTATTAGGGAGATATATATGACCGAAGGAGATCTACCTAATAAATAAACAAGGATATGCTGGGATTCTGGAAACAAACTTCCTTGTGTTCAAAGGTAAATCATCATTATTTAATAAACCAATAAAATAAAGAATAATGTTAACATCAACACAGTCTTGGTAAGACTTTTTCATTTCTGTAAAAAGTTTAAGTTTACAAACTGAATACCCAAGTTAAAGGTTTTTTAGTCATTTAATAGGAAGATTTTGAAGTAGCTAGCCTTAACATTAGATTCAGTGACACTCTTCCCTCTTATTTTTAGTCTTATTGAAGTGAAGTGAACAGAGGAATAGTAGTCTCCATTACACTCATGAAATTTCCATCATTAAACATTTGAAGAAAACAAACATTTTTTTTTAAAAAAATCTGTCAAAGTTAAAACAAGAGATGCTTAGCTTAAAAATGCTGAAACATACTAAGAATAATATGAGCAGAAAAGCTAGCATTTCTCTTTGAAAAATTGAAGTGAACAGAGCAAAGTGAAGTAAAGTGATTCTCTAACCTTCAGATTCGAGAACCCTAGCATATATTTTATTTAATATGTTTGCCTTTTTTTACAAGTTTGCTACATTACGGTTTTATGGTGCCCGTTTGGAATTTGCAAGACCTCATGCAAGACGCATTTGAATTATAATTTGGGAAGCTACTTTAGGCAAATAAAGCTGAAAAGCAAAAATATAAACGGGAGGAAATCCAATCGAAATGCGTGACTGAAAGTAGAACATCCAAGTTGAAAGTTGATTCAATTTCATGGAATAATAGGGCAAGTATAACTGAGAAATTTAAGTGAGATTCAAAGTTTGTACCTCATTCACACAAGCGTCCAGATCTGAGGACAAAATTAAGCCTAATATCTGCAAAAAGAATATTGATAAGAGAAACAAAAATGCGGCGAATAAAAGAATCGCATACATTCATAGACAAAATATTGTGAGACTAAATAAGAAAATATTCACCTAAAAAGCGAACAAGAGGGTAGTGCAGCGACTTTAGAAAAAGAAGGTGGTGTCATCATCAAGACTTCAGAGCACACAAGCACTGTGAGGTGGACAGTAGGTCGCGTAGAACGAAATCATCGTGGGGGTTATGGACTTATGGTGTAAGGTATTCCAAGATTTTTGTATAAACGATGTTGGCAGTGACATTTGTGGTTCTGGAATTATCTATTTTGTCATGAATAAGGAGCTTCACGGAGGCAGCATATTTTTTAACGCGACATTACAACGTATAATTGCCCATGAGAAAAAATAGGCTGTCTGAGGTATATTCCAACAAATTCGAGTGTTTGACCTTGCGATTTGTTGATTGTCATTGCAAAGCATTGTTTAATCGGAAATTGAGTTCTCTTAAATGGTATCGTTCATCTCTAGAGATCTCGAGTGGTATTCTTGGTATGAACACATCTTTGCCTTTGTACTCACCAAATGCTATGAAACAACTTATGAGATGATTATTAAATGTATCGCAGATTAAGCATGTGATGTTACATAAGCCCTCAAATGGATTTATAGGATTACGGGGCAATTCTTTTTTAAAACTAATGTGTGGGGAGGCAGCCCTGCAAATGATAATGTATGCAAGAAATCTGGGCAACCTTTGTACCTTGAATCTAGTGCTTCATCATAGCTTAGGAAAGTTTTTGAATCTCCGGGGAATCAAGAGATTAGAAAGTCATTTATTTCATCTGCGTAGTCATTTGCAGTAGTTAGTATTGTTCTACCCATTAACGTATATGGATCTTGGTGAAGGAGGTTTAGGTTTGGGTAAATAGCTGATATTAGTGATAATAATGAATTTGAAACATTAGTAGCAACAAGAAGGAATTCTGGTGGGATTTCAACAAGAATGACCTCACCTCGATAACAACAAAACCCCCAAAGGTTCAAACTGGATGCAGATTGCAGTAGTTTTTTCCCTTTCACGATATCTAAGCCGAAGCCTAAAGTTATTTGTTCACGCTGATTACCCTCAATGGCTGGTTGAGCAGGTGAAGATCCAGCTTCCATTGAATCTAAAATGTCTTATAAATGAAACTAAGTGTTAATTAATATTATACATTTGATATATTCAATTCATAGAGTCTTAACAGAGTAATATCTATCCTAGAAAATAAACGTTAAAAAGAAAAATGTACGGAAAGAGCAAATTCAAAACAACCATAAAAATGAAGAGAATGTCGAAGGAGCGAACTTCATAACTTGATATTAGTGCCACAACAATAATAATAGATGCAATATTTTTTACAAAATGCTGAGTAACCCTAGGGATAAATTTAATATAAGGGCAGAAAATTTGGTACAAAATTTTTAAGCAAATTTGGAATGAAGAAAACCATTTCTATATTTAAAAATGCAGCACATAGTTCAATTGACCAAAGTACATACACAAATGGTTTGAGTAAGTTTCAAGAATGGTGAACCAATTAAGGACCAGACAAAGCAATAAGCAAAGAACATATACCTTATTTCAAACCTGTGATGAGTGTTCATTTCAAAACTGAGATAAACAATGCGAAGAAAGATATTCAGGGAGTCCGAAATACCAACAATGCGAACATATACCTTTTTTTTAGAATATCATTATCATTATTCCATTAGCAGCAACAACATACCCTCAAGTATGAAAGCATATAAAGAGGGCAAAAAACAAATTCCAAAGCCAGGAACAAATATGTGACACTAAAATAATAAGTATCAGCTTCTTTTTAAAATGTAAAGTCAAAACAAACCGCAAGCGGCAAGCATGAAACTAAACAACTTCCTAGACAATTTAGTTCGAAGTACAAAGGAATACAAACAATTGTTTTTTAAAAATAGTCAAGAGAACCATAGATTACAAGTGCATAAGCATACCAAGCAAGTGGAACAGGATCAACAAAGAACACGAATTGTATTTAGTCCCTTGTATGAAGCATTAAGAACTTAAATCAAAACATTAACCATTAAAAAAAGTGGTCTACCTACAATAAAAACACCAAACACCAATGAACAATCTAAAATAATGACTCACATACACATAGAGAACTTGTTTTTAGTAAAAAAAAAAAAGAAAGGACTTTTTCAAAATACAGTAAATAAAAGAGTAGTTGAAATAGAAACAAAAGGCAATTCAAATTTTAGAAAAATAAAAACACCAACCAACAAATCCAAAACTAAAACTCACATCCAGAACTTGTTTTTAGTAATAAAACAAATTTGAGTTGAAATCACACTTACAGAATTATTCAAAAGCTATAATTCAATGAAGAACACTATTTCCTCATTTTAAAATGCAGTCTTTCCCAATGTTTCTTTTTTTGTTTAAAGTATGCAACTAAGAAGGGTATAATATGGGAGTTGTAAATACCCACAGTTTCTACATTAGCACTAACAGTTCGGATTTAATTTCAAAGTTTTTTAAGAATATCATTATCATTATTCCATTAGCAACAACAACATACCCTGAAGTATGAAAGCCTATGAAGAGGGCAAAAAAACACCAAAGCCAGGAACAAATATGCGACACTAAATAATAAGTATCAGCTTTGATTTATAATGTAAACCCAAAACACACCACAACCTAGATAATTTAGTTGAAATTCAATAAGATCAGAATACAAATACTTTTTTTATAAAATGTCAAGAGTACCATAGCATAGAAGTGCATTAACCTACCAAGCAAGTGGAACAGGACCAACAAAGAACACGAACTGTATTTGGTCACCTGTATGAAGCATTAAGAACTTAAATCAAAACATTAACCAATAAAAAAAATTTCTAACTACAATAAAAACACCAATGAACAATCCAAAAAAATTAAGTGAAGTAAATGTTATAAATTTTGACTTAGTAAATAACAGAGTAATTTATATATAAACAAAAAAAAATAGTTCAGTTTTCAAGAATTTTTTTAACTTAACTTTAGATTCTGAAATGAAGTAGATTTTTTTTGAAAATAACAGTCATGGAAATAGAAATAAAGAACTAATTTCAGAATTTTTTTAAACCTAAATTAACATTCTTAAATCAAGTAAATATTTTAAAATATCACTCAGTTTGTAAACAGACAGAATTGGAAAAATCATTAAAGGGACTTAAGTTTCAGCCAGTAAACCTAATAGAAAAAGAGGTGAAATTCAATTGTGAATGATATTCAAAAAAGGTGTGAAATTGAAATAGCAAAAGTAGAGAATTTGAAAATGGGATAAATGATGAATCCAAAGACGACACTGATATAGAGGGGTATGTAAAATGATGAAGAGAAGGGGAATACCTGCAAACCCAAGAGCAAGTATGCATGTGAACAGGAGAGTTGAAGGAGGACGAAGATATAAGAATGGGCTTGTCCATCGTGGGACGGTGAGCGACGATGAAGCATCGTGGGGCAGTGAGCTGCGAAATAGTGGGCAAGTAGAATAGACGAGAAGTGGGTGAACACTGAACAAAAGTGCCGTTAAATGTGGACGAGAAAATGGTGCCTAGGGTGAACAGTACACTCGTTACATTTGACGGAAAAAAGGCGAGCATAACCTTCTTAGGCCCTTATAGTATTAGGGAGATCTATTAATGCATGGAAACGTCACCCAAGAGTGTGATATGGCCCAGGGAAGCCCTATCTTATTAAATTAAAGATAGAAGTGATACAACAAGAAGGGGTGGGCTTAGTAGTCCCAACAAATGCCCAAAGAAGAGGAAATGAGAAAATTACGGGTGAAGGGGTAAAATAAATGTTAATAAAATCAAACTCAATTTTAGAAAGCAGAACTTTGTTGTCTTGTCCATACTTTTTCATCCGCTAAAGCCTAAAGGGAATTAAAAAGGACCAAATGGATTAAGTCAGCTTCCAAATAACTTACCCAATATACAGTAAGTTAACAGTCCTCTAAAAAACTCACTCAAACCATAACAATGATAATCTTCTTCTTCTTCTTCTACTGGGACCTGAAATTAGATTCAATTAATCCACATCTTCTTGATCTTATCCTGCTGCCATACCTTTCTTCATTTTTTTTCTTTGATGTCTTTTTTTCGACTCATGGTCGGGGCTGTGATGGAGAGGATTTTGTGGCTTCAGCTTTTTTATTGAATTGGGGCAGCAATGCTCGAAGAATTCTCTTATATCCTCAGCATAATAATTGTCATCATTATCTTCTAACAACAGGCTGAATCTTTAAACTACACGCTGCAAAGCTTGTTACCAAGAGGGAAGATGAATAGAAGTGCTAACCAATTGCGACAATCATTTCGCGCGAGTGTGATAAATAAAAATAAAACACGGAAGATAATGCGAAATATAAAGCAGAACAAGAACACACGATCTATACAGATTCGACCTACTGCCTATATCCAGTCCCCTAGCACAATTGTGTTTGAGATTCTACTACCCAACAAAACTTAATGGTGTTTCATAAACCTTACAACACGAGAACTTGAGTCACACGAACCTCTAGCCTTAACAGCTATAACGTGATAACACAAGTCACATGATTTCACCACTTGATGTAGTCCCGACGTCAAGATTTTAACCTTAAGTTTGATCACACAAACAAAATTGGGTTTTACTCAAACCACTTGGCATAGTCCCAACACCAATACTTCTTGCACCCTTTAACAAAGGATATATCGACAGAGATTGCACAATGAAACAAACTACTTGATGAGTAGATTGCTGGCAAATTATAGAACTTATTGGAGTATGGCAATTCTTTCTCAATAACTCAAGCAAATAAATTTGGATATGTAACATGAGTTTTACTAGGACAATGCAATGGATTTTCTCAACAAAGATTGTAGAAATCTTGATCAAAGTCAAGGAATATTATGTGGAATTTTTGTGGCTAAAAACTGTGTAAAATATGACAAATATGTGCATATTTATAAGCATGAGTTGGTTGAAAAAATCTTATCTGTTTTTTCAAAAAAAAAAAACTGTGAAACATTGGAATGTTTAACATGTAACATGCGAATAACAGATAGTGGAATCATTCAAATGTTGTAGCCCATATATTCGAATGCATCGCGGTTACTTCTAAACATAGCCATGCATCCTCATATTTAGTGTAAGTAAATAGGCCAGTTAAGTAATATTTGTATGGATGATATGGTAGTGGATATGGTAGTGGAGTAGTTATGGTAGTTAAGGGTTGATAGGTGATGAGGCATTTTAATTGTGTCTATAAATACATCATACATTGTAATATTGCATTGTTGTAATTGGAGACTAATCAAGAAATGCAATCATATTCCTTCCAAATCTCACTCTTTCCATTTCTCTCTCCTTAACTCTCTGCTCCTGGTACGTTTCTTTCTCGAGAATAGAACCCAGGTTCATATCTTTTCTTTAGCAAGGTCTTCTCGCTCTAACATTGGTATGAGAGCCCTGTTCTGGCCCGCCGGATTGCAATTGCTTATTGCTCCTCCTTCGAATTCAATCCTAGAGCATGGAATCACAATTGAAGCCAATGGATGGAAGATTCGTCAGAATGAATGAACGACTCAATGCTCAGGATCAGAAATTGGATGAGATGATTTCAATCTTGAAGAAAATGGAATGGAAATATGGCAAGGAGAAGGAAACCCACTACACAACAAAGGGAGAAAGAATTCAGCTCCATCCCAAAATACTCAATTCTAACCCTAAGCTGGAATTTACCAGATTTGATGGCAGTAACTTGAGAATCTGGATCAACAAGGCCTGTAAGTACTTTTCACTCTATAATATTTCAGATGATCAATGGGTGAAAATGGCTGGCTTGCATATGATTGACAAAGCTGAGAATTGGGTTAAGAGTTACTTTTCTTTCAGAAAGTATGTAGGCTGGCATGAGTTTATCATTAATTTAAGTACCAAGTTCAGGGATGACAACGTAAAGATTAGAACAGAAGGGGTCTTTCGAAACCTACATTGATGAGTTTAAAGAGTTGAGGTGTGTTTTGGTTCAGCGTAATTGCTACTTGCCTGACACCTATATTTTAGATTGCTAAATTGAAGGATTGAAACCAGACATTAAGTTCTTTCTTAAGGCATTCAAGCCTAATTGCATAACTCAAGCAATTAAGTATGCAAGACTGAAAGAGGCATCAATGGAAGAGGAATCTCTTGGATATTCCTCCAAAATTGAAGGAGCCATTGAAATACTTGAAGAGGAAGAGCTCTTGAATGAGCAGGAAGATTTAATTGATCAATTTGATTCAATCACAACTACTGATGGGCTTGAGTTACGTGCTGAGGTAATCAATCAGAGTGAACCAGAAAATGAGATGACAGAATGCATAGAAGATCAATCTGAGCCAAGTACAAGGAGTTAGAAGTATGGTGCCTGCATTTCTCGGAGGGCATAACATTCTAGCAGAGACAAGAAACAAGAGGCATATTCACATTTTGGTTGAATCTGGAAGCACTCATAACTATTTGAGTTTGGACACTGCTAAGAATTTGGAATACAAGATAGAAAAAGTCCGTATGAAAGCACTAACAGTAGTAGATGGAAACATAATGGCTTGGCAAAATGCTTGTGACCCATTAATCTGGAATATTCAAAAGGAAGAAATTGTCAGATGTTAGGTTGACTTCCTTGGGCAGCTATGATATGGTCCCAGGAATTCAATGGTTAGAGAACTTGGCACCAGTTTGCTCGCATTTCACGAAGATGAAAATGAGATTTGATTTGAAGGAAGAATCTTTTGTGTCAAAACGGTTGGTGAACAGGAAAATGGAGTATTATGAAAGCAAAAGAGAACAAGTTTTGGGTATAGAACTTGAAGGCCTTCAAAGGGAGTTTGGCAGGGTTTCAGCAGAAACGACAAAACTGCCTCTTTTTAGGGGTATTTGATCCCGGTGTTCCATATATTCCATTAGCTATCCTTAACTGCAGATACAGGAGGTGCTGACTTGGATAAAGGAGCTGGACAATTTAAAACCAAAATTCAAGATGAATGCTTTACAAGTAAAAGCAGAGAAATCCAGTGTGATACATTGTTGTGAACATAGGGGAAACACTGGCTTGGATGAGGAGTTTGAATTTTTGAAGAAAGCTTTCAGAGTCAACTTTGATAACCTAACAGAGCTACCTTCATACAGAAACATGTTTGATCCTCGTATTATACCTTTATCAGTGGCCATCCTAAATATTTTTGGCCATTCAAGCTGAAACCACCTCACAAGTCTCTTGAAGGAGAGAGCAATGATATGGCAGTTCAGGAGTAGTTATGGTAGTTCAGGGTTGTTAGCTGGTGAGGCATATTTCAATTGTTTCTATAAACACATTGTATTGTTGTAATTGAAGACTAATCAAGAAATACAATCAAATTCCACCCAATCTCTCTCTCCTTAACCCTCTGTCTCTGCCCTCTGGTTCGTTTCTTTCTCAAGAATAGAACCCAGGTTCATATCTTTTCTTTAGCAAGGTCTTCTTGCTACAACAATGGAATCATAGGTTTAAGAAGCAATCAAATCAGGAACTCATGTCATTAGTGATTGAATATCAGTAGTGCACTTCCTCTCACTTTTGTTAAAAAAACATAACAACACATCCATTGACTGAACATTAAAAAACTTACAAAACCTGTAATCAAAACAACTGAAATATACAGGAGTATGTTATTAAACTCAAGTACCATTTTTAGTAAGGGGCGCTATGATTTTTTCAAATTGTTAATAACTTATTATGCTTTGGAAAAATTCATCCATGGGCAAAATCTTTTTAATAATGCCCTGACCATTGAGATCCTTCCTCCATTGAATTTAATTATAAATTTGTCCTTTTTTTAATAAATTTGTAATCGGAGAACATTGTCGACTGCTATATGCTCTAAATGTGATATAGTGTTAGATGTCATCTCGAATGGGATTGCATAACTGCTTTTGACTAGAGGCAGAACTGCACATTCACAACAACAACAACAACCCAGTTGAATCCCACTACAGTAGGGTCTGGGGAGGGTGTGTGTACGCAGACCTTGCCCCTACTCGGAAGTAGGGAGGCTGTTTCCAAGAGACCCCCGGCTCAACCTGCACAAAAATATGAAAGGGGACACAGTATAACACGGATAAAGCACCAAGTACAATGAAATGAAAGTCCTGCAAGCAATAGCAAAAGATTCCAATCAAACACAAGACACTACAAAACAACCTCTACAGCACCGAGCTCCTATCCAGCTACTCTAATCCTAGTTCTCCAAAGGTTCCTATCTAAGGCCATATCCTCAGTCAGGGTGAGAAGTCCTAAATCCTGCCTAATCACCTCCTTCCAATTCTTCCTAGGTCTACCCCTTCCCCTACTTCCCCCGATAACCGTAATCCTCTCGCATCTCCGTACAGGGGCGTTAGCATCCCACCGTCTCACATGACCAAACCATCTCAACCTCGCTTCCCGCAACTTATCTTCCACCGGCGCCATGCCTACCTGACGTTGGATAACTTTGTTCGAAATCCTATCCAACCTTGTCTTCCCACACTTCCATCGTAACATCCGCATCTCCGCCGCATGCAGACGACGCACATGAGTCTTCTTAACCGCCCAACACTCTGCCCCATTTATCATAGCAGGTCTGACTACGGATCGGTAGAACTTACCTTTCATCCCGGACGAAATCTTCGGATCACACAACACCCCTGAAGCTAACCGCCATTTGGCCCAAGCCACTCCAACACGATGTCCAACATTCCCGTCTAGCTCCCCATCAGCCTGGATTACCGAGCCAAGATATCGAAACCTGTCTACCTTAGGTACTAGGTGAGAGTCAATCCTAACTTCCACTTCTGATTCTGTTTTCCAGCCGCTGAAACGACATTCCATGTATTCAGTCTTGTTCCTACTTATTTTGAATCCTTTAGTCTCAAGGGCAAGACACCATAGTTCTAACTTATCGTTTAGTCCCTCACGTGTGTCGTCGATAAGCACAATATCATCTGCGAAAAGCATGCACCATGGGACCCCTTCTTGAACACCTCAAGTTAGGACGTCCATCACCAAGGCGAACAAAAAAGGGCTAAGGGCAGACCCTGGTGCAACCCCATCCCTACCGAGAATGACTCAGAGTCGCCCCCGGAAGTCCTTACCCTAGTCATAGCCCCATCGTAGATATCCTTGATCACGCGAGTGTACACGATGGGAACTGTTGGACAATGTGCTATCATGAATATATATTTTTGCAATGTCCTTTGCCCATTGTCTTTTAGGTTTTGATAATGACAAAAAGGGTGACAAAACATCATCATCATATTGTGCATCAAGGCTAAGAATCAAAGCTACAACAAGTTCATATCCGTCCGTGAAGAAGGGACTTGAGTATCGATGGAAGGGACGAGACCGAAGAGGTTGTTTCCTTAGTTGGGTAGTGTTTTAGGTCTTAGATTATGTGTTAAAGAGTATGGCATCTCTAAGGTTCATTCCGTTATCATCTTACCTTTAAAACTCATTTTAAATCAGCCTTTGTGTGGGGAAGTTGCCTTTCTATTTGAATAATCTTTAGTTTATTCGAATAAGTCGTGATCTTTCTGGTGACTAAAATTAACCTGTTTTATTCGAATAAATCACCATTTATTCGAATAAGTACTGGCTTTTCACCCTGATTTATTCGAATAAATCACCATTTATTCGAATAGGAACTGGTTTTTCAAGTCACGTGATTGATCCAAACTATTCGAATAGTTCTTGAGTTATTCGAATAAGTCGACATTTTCAACTACCAAACGGCTAGTTTTTTTGAATTCTTTTCATCTCTATCCACTCCCTAACTTCTATAAACAACCCTCTTCGTGATTATATTGACAAGAACACTTAGAACACTTTGAAGAACATATCCTTTGAATATCCAAAGAGATTCTACTCAATCCCCTCCTTATATCCAAGCAAGGCAATTGTTTTGATTGCTAAATCATTTCTTGCTTGAGTTTTTCCTCATTGCTTGAGTCTTTGAGAGATATTGCCATATTCTAAAGGGCTTCATTGTATTTGCAACAATCTACTCCGTGTTGGGAGAATTACTTGGTTGCGGTTTGTTTTCTTACTTTATTGTAAGGGATTTGTATTCTTGGTGTTGGGATTACACCAAGTGGTAGAAATCCTAACGGTTTGTGAAATCAAACGTTAGGTGGAAGAAATCTTGAGTTTTGTGAAATCAAAACTTCGGTGGTAAGATAAGAGGCTTGTGAAATCAAGTTCTCGAGTTGTATTCGGATTGTCAAACTCCGTTAAGTTTGACGAGTTAGTGAAGGCCTGGGCACGATTGCTTCGGGGACTGGATGTAGGCATTTAGGCCGAACCAGTATATATCGTGTGTGCATTGCTCTTATCCTTCACTTTATTTTGTTTGTGGTGCATTGTTTTTATTGAATATTCGTGAAGAACGTTTCCGCGCAAAAAACTGGTCTTTTGGGCAACACCTCTATTCACCCCCCTCTAGAGGTGTGCGAGGCGTATAACAGGAACTCCTCTCGTCTCAAGGCACCTCCATAAGATCTCCCTCGGCACCCTATCGTACGCCTTCTCAAGGTCAATAAACACCATATGAAGGTCCTTCTTCCTAGCCCTATACTCTTCCATTAAACTCCTCACGAGATGAATGGCCTCTATAGTCGATCTGCCAGGCATGAAACCAAACTAGTTCTCAGAGATGCATACCCCTTTCCGCACCCTATACTCAATGACTCGCTCCCAAACCTTCATGGTGTGGCTAAGCAGTTTGATGCCTCTGTAATTCTCGCAGCTCTAGATGTCACCTTTGCCTTTAAACAGAGGGACCAAGAGACTCTCCCTCCACTCATCAGGCATCCTTGCTGTCCGGAGGATAACATTGAAGAGTTTGGTTAACCAAACCCACGCACCACGACCCGCATGCTTCCAAAACTCCACCGGAATCTCATCTGGTCCCAAAGCTCTCCCACTACGCATCCCGCGGAGAGCCCGAACCACCTTTTCCAGGCAAATGCGCCGGAAATACACACGAGACACCCCGGACTGCCCCAACTCATCAAGAACTAGCCTCTGGTCTCCTCCCGCATTTAAGAGTTCACTAAAGTACTCCCCCCAGCGCTTAGCCACCTTGGCAGTCTCAACTAACACTCTACCATCGCTGCCCTTCATGCATCTCATGTGGTCCAGATCTCGGGCCTTCCTCTCACTCACCTTAGCAAGCCGGAACCGTGGATTAACACTGCCTTTCTCCTCAATATCCTTGTAGAGGCGTTCAAAAGCGGCATTCTTTGCCCTCGTAACCTCTAACTTAGCTTCTTTACGTGCCTTCTTGTACTCCACTCGTAACACCGCTCTTTCCTCCTCAACATTGCAGCCCATGTACCTCAAATATGCCACCTTCTTAGCTTCCACCTTACTTCGGACTGAATCGCTCCACCACCAATCACCGGACAGAATCCATTCTTTCATTGTTGTCCATTTTCTTTTTTGAAAGGGAGAAAGACCAAAGTAGGACTAAAACATTGAAGATATACCAAAATAGGACTTCCATGTTTTTATTCCCGAAATAGGACTTACATTACCTAACATGGTCATATACATTATCAAGAAAGTACAGTAATTTGCACATGTACACTGCCACATTACCACAATGCAAAGTCCTATTCCGGGAAAAAAAACATGAAAGTCCTATTTTGGTACTTTTCTCTATGTTTTAGTCCTATTTAGGATGATTTCTATTTTTGAAACTCAGACTAAGGTTGAACCCTGAAACATCAAGAGTTATCGTGACAAGTTCAAAACTTGAACTTATGAAATCAAAAGAGAACAAAAGTTCATGCTCTATTTCTATATATGTCTTACTAATGCACGTGTAGTGTAGTTTTAGACACTTGTAAAACATTGAATTGAAAAAAGAGATGTATTCCATATTTGCAGTAAAATTATGGGGAGGAGAGATCACCCAAATTGCAATGCATTTTCAAATTCCATGTCCACTTTTAAGTCAATTTTCTATGAAATTTGCTAATATCTTTGGGTTTTCATGCTCTTGTGTGAGTCGTGTCTTTCTTTGCAACTATACAAGGTAAGACATGTTAGAAATAACCGCCTTAAACTCAAATTGGCTACTACTACATCAATGGATGCAGTCGACTTAAGAGTAACAGTTCCGAAGGAAACCCAGAAATAAAAAACATATAAAACACTTGTGGTTGGCATCATTGACTTCGACCTTTTCCGAAATGTGAAGTGTATCGTTCCATAGTGGGTTTTTTAGTTTTGCTGATAATTCAATGGACTTCAATAGTGTTAAACCAAGATCATGTTACTTTAGTGTCTTTTTCTTATTCGCCCTTCGATTCTAGCCGGAAAGTTTGATGATCATGTCGTAAAACTCCACTATCTTAAAGAGTGAACGACCATAGGTGTTGCACCTAATTTGAAGTTATCAATCTACAAATGCACACAAAGAACACCTAAGGAATTTAATGATGCATATCTACTTGCGATAGCAGACAATGTCAATCTTTTTAATCTGTCTAACACATACGAAATGTCTAATAGCTTCCTCAAATTCGACGACATCATTTCAATCATCGCTTGCACTCGCTAGATCATGACATGCCTTTATGTGGGAAATGGAGTTGGGATGGCAAGCATTGTCCCACCATGACAACAAATCAAACAAAGCGCATTATCAAAAAATTAACTTTGATTGATACCCCATAAATGAAGGCAAATATTCACTTCTTTTCTTCAAGAACGTAAGACATCTATGTCTCTAACTTGGCCAAAAATAATTTTCATGCCAATGAACCACTTGCTAAACATATATGTACCAAATAATATAGTTATCTAGAGCTTTGTATAACAAAATGTAAAGTTATATATATTTGGGGAACCCTTGTTAACTTTATAAATAAGTTGCAAAAGATTACAATGTTGGGGTAAAAGCTAATGAGCAAAGAGGCTAAATAGAAAAGAAATCGTGCAACAATTATAAATAAAAAAACTAAAAATGGATGGAAGATGAAGCTGAATCCATTTAAATTTTTTATCAATAGATCAGTTACCCTCTCTCCAAGTCTAAATTAGGTAGTTGATCTCGGCTCCCCCCTTGCTGGCTTGAAAGTTAATGTTCTTCCCTTCATGGATGTGGCTTGTAATTTGCTTTCTAACTTCCCAATAGACTATGCGTGGTATTATGGGTTTGAGATTGTCCTTTAAAGTGTTTTTAACTGTGAGATAACCACCATTCTAACAAGTGTTGTTGGATAGCAATGCTTTCTCTAAGAAAGGAACTATCGAGCGCTTTATATGAGAAGAGAGAACACATTGAAAACTTCTTCATTCTCTCCCTTTTTTTGTAAACCCTTTCCTCCATCTTCAGGTAGCGGATGTTAGTTTTCCTTTATTTTTAGAGAGAAAAGTTCCCATAACTAACAATGTATTTTTGCTGAATCACTACAAGTTCAAGTGCATTTACCAATAAAACAAAATTGAGCATCCTTTAAGTCCATTGTATACTCCTCCATCTTGCAATTAACTTCACATTTTCCTTTCATGTTCGTTCCAAAATAAAGTTTGCACGTCTCCAATTTTCTTTTATGGCTTGTTTGGGAACATGGAAAAAACAAAACAGATTTTGCTAGCACATCTGTAGCAAATTTCATGACTATGCCATTTCAAATAACATGAGGTGACACAAAACTTGTTCACATGCATGAAATTGTGAACTGTTAGGTGCATCTAATCAAGAGTGTTCCAAGAATCCAATTCTCATTAATGGGTAACGTGTAGGATTCTTTGGTATTGAGAAGGGTGTAAAGCAAGGAGACCCTTTATCCCCTCTCCTTTTCATTGTAACTTCTCCAGACTTGTGAATGGCAAAGCACATGAGGGATACTTGAAAGGCTACAATCTGGGAAGAATTAAACCAATCACACATCTCTCATTTGCTGATGATATCATTATTTTCACAAATGGGAAACAAAGGACTTAAAATACACTAAAAGGGATTTAGGATGACTATCTCAAGGTTAGTTGGCAGTCTATAAACTACACTAAGAGTAAATTTTATTCCAGCCCAAAAACCAAGAACGAAAAGAACTCAGATAACTAACATTTCGGGTATGCAACAAGGAGCCCTACCTTTTAAATACCTTGGAGGAATTAAACAATTCGTGATGACTTAATTAAACAATTTGAAAAACCTAGAAGGTTGAAAAAGGTCAATTGTGATGACTTAATTAAACAATTTGATAAATACCTCATTACATGGTATAGTAAAACCCTGAATCATATGGGTAGAGGCTCATATAGATAAAACATGTGCTCTCCCCTAAGAAGCACAAGTGTTGGTGCGTTGACCGGTGCGGAAATTTTCAAAAAAAAAACAAGGTGCGGGTGCAGTAATGGGTGCGACATATATATATATATATATATACTATGTAGCACTGAAACGGAAACGGGGACGGAGACGAAACGAAACAGACACGCCAAAACGGCTATTTTGAAAAAATGAAGAGACGAAACGCCGGGGAAACGCCAAATTTATATATATAAATTATATATATATATATAAATAAAATTATGTAAACAAATTCACAATACATAACATATTTTAGTCATTACAAAACATATTAAAGTATAAATTCACAAGATATATCATAATTTAGTCATTACAAAACATATTAAAGTATAAGTTCAAAAGAGATAGCATAATTTAGTCATTACAAAACATATTAAAGCATAAATAAGTTCAAAATACAAAACATAAAATCCAGAAGTCACTGACCAGCGGCGTAAGCTTCTCCCTTTGTCGGCGAGAAGCAAACACTTCACCTGATGTTGCGCCCTTTGTCGGCGAGTAGTTGGCCAACCAGCTGCGTAAAGCTTCTTTGAGGGCCGCTGTCTATTATCAATGAATATGATAGCCGCGTAACATAGAGGAGCGATGAAGATTTAGGGCCAGATAATACTTTTTATAATTTGAGTCAGTTCCAAAACTTTTAAAATTTATAAAAAGAACCCCATTTTTTTCAAAAGAGGTGTCCCTGCCGTTTCCCAAAAGAGACACGCGTGTCCCAGCCGTTTCCTTGGCGTTTTTTTCTCTTTTTTAAAAATTAAAATTACAGAAACGCCACGTGGAGTTTCCGAGACGTCTCCAGGCGTGTCCGTGGCGTGTCGGCGTGTCCAAGGTGTCCGAAACGGGTACGGCAGCCTATATGGAGTTTCCGTGCAACATAGTATATATATATATATATATATATGTATGTATATATATGTATGTATATATATATATATATATATCATTGTAAAATACATGTATTTATGTTCAAAACATACACAAAAGAAAACAATTATCTTAATTTTAAATAAATAAAGCACATGACATCCTACAAAATAGATAGGAAACATAATATAAGACAGACAATAATTAAGAAAACGTACAAAAACACACAATAATTGAGCAATTTATATGTAGGGATAAATTGAGGAGATTTCAACCTATGTAAAAGGACAGAAGAACTGAGCAAGTTCTAAAAGAAAACCGAAATTAGTTTAAGATAGAGAGTAAATTAAAAATAACAAAATGATAAATAAAGGAAAAAAGAATAAAACAAAAGCAAAACCTAAAAACGGAGTATGACCTAATACAACAACATTACTCCAGTGCCTCAACGGCTACCGCCCATTGCGGGGTAAGGGGGGTCGGATGTACGCAGTCTGACCCCTATGTTTAAAACATAGAGCGGCTGTTTCAAGATGACCCATGATGACCGTCGAAAGTTGCATTACTAACTGCTACTTCACAATTGCAAGAAGCGCAAACAGTTTAAAGAATATTTGCTTTATTCCATCATACCCCAAAGCCAAAAATAGTGAATCTTTGGCTCCACAAGGGAATGGAAATATGATCTAATGCGCTTAAAAAAACAAAATCAAACAATTTCGAGGCGTGGGTCGAAGGGCAGATCTTACCCGGCACGGCCCTTATTCTTCTCGTTCCCGTTCCGCGACTCCACAAAAGGCCATCGCCGAAGACTTCCTATCCATGGCGGTTCTAATTCGCCTCCCATGCAATCCGTGAAATAGAAAAAAACTACAAGTCTACCCCACGGCACCCACCACGCACCGCCACACTGGAATGGTGCTTCGTGCACCTGTATTTTGCAGCATTTGTGCTTCCTAGGCTCTCCCAAATATCATTGCATATATTTGTTGTTCAAGAGGTGCCAAAAGCAGTCTTAAAATGCCTTGAAAGAAAGCTAGCTGCCTTTTTGGGAAGACATAAGGCAGGAAAGAAACAACACCATTAGAAATCTTCCGACTTCTTTGGGCATGATAAACTTCTTCAATGCAACAGAGTCAAAGTCATCTGGACTCTAGAGTGAGTACTCTAATGTGCTCAACAATCCCTTTCTTAGAGAGGGCATTACTACCAGACAACAGTTGCTGGAACGATGGTAATCTCACAACAAAAAACACTCTTAAGGGCAATCTCTGCCCTATAATACCAGGCATAATCTATTGACAATTTGGAAGAAAAATTACAAGCCACATCCATGAAAGGA